CGCCATAAGTGTCTCCACTTGACCCTGTCGAACGCTTTACGGTAATCTATAAAACAGATGTATAGTGGGATGTTGAATTCCCTAGATTTCTCGAATATCTGTCTTATGTTCAGCAGGTGTTCTCGAGTGCCTCTACCTTTGGTAAATCCAGTTTGCTCTTGTGGAATTTCTCCTTGAAGGAATGTTTTCAGTCTCTCATTGATTATATGTAGCATTATCTTGCTGACATGGGATATAAGAGAGATAGTTTTAGAATGGTCGCATTTATGGAAGCTGCCTTTTTAATGTATGGTCGTTATTGTAGATTTTGTCCAGTCTTCAGGCCATTGTTTGGAATGCCATATTTGGTTACAGAGTAGATGAAGTAACTTTACGCCGGTTTCTTCTGTGGCTTTAAGCATTTGTGCTGTTATCATATCTGGACCTGGTGCTTTGTTATATTTGAGCTTGTTGATAGCCTGTCTTACTTCATTTTCGAGTATATCAGGTTCTTCTTCCACCTTGTCAGAGATTTGGCTAACAAGCTCTTGACGTTGATCATCTTTATATAGGTCCCTGCAATACGATCTATATGTCTCTGCCTTATTTGTACAACCTCTCATTTTTCTTTTCAAGTCCTGTTATTTCTTTTTGGAAGAATCCTTATATATTGCAGTCAGTGAGTAAAGCTAAACAAACCAATAATTTACTGTAAGTTTTTATGTTTTTTATATCCTGTTACTGCAGATTTAAGTACTATGCTGAATATTTCGTGTTGGTGATCAAGAAGGGCTCGGGTGTAAAAAATGGTATGTGATTTATTAGATTGAAAGTTTCACTCTACACAATTCGTACCGATATTACAATACTATTTTCGGGAAGATTTTTTTACTTTGGAATGATTTTTTTTTACTTTGGAATGATTTTTTTTTACTTTAGGAACGATTTTGAGTATCTAACCTTAACAATAATATCAACTTGTATTTTTATTATGACAGCGCTTATCATATCCTATTCGACAGTGATTTCTCTATTTCATTAAAAAAAAATTAAAATCAGTAGTGAAAGTGATGCCGAATTGATTACAGCAATGTTAATATTGTTATGACTAAAAATATAAAATAAAATCTCAAGAAATAGCTAAAATATCATACACATGATTTAAATTTCACAGCCTTACTATATTACAGAATTTATTCTTCCATCAAATCAAATAAAAAAATTTAAAAAAACAAAAATTGGTTCCGCCCGGGATCGAACCGGGGACCTTCTGCGTGTGAAGCAGACGTGATAACCACTACACTACGGGACCGTTGGAACGGTTTGAGGTTGCGTAATTATTAACTGAATGAAACAAAAATAATGAACCTTTACATAATTTAATTTAACATTTAATTTTTTAGTTAAATCAACTTAAATAATTATTCTCCCTCATTCGTAGTCATTCATACAGTATTGGCCATGGGTTCCTTCAGGACTTACCTTAACCCTTAGTTATGGTATAAGTATCATGTTAAATACACCAGTTAAATTTTATACAAGTCGATATTTTTTCCTATAATTTCAATTATCATTATCATTATCCAGCCTTCATTTATCACGTCCACTGCTGGACATAGGTCTCCCTTAATCTCCTCCATTCTTTGCGATTTTGTACTCTTTGTTGCCAATTTTTGGTGACGCGCCTGAAGACGTCAGCCCAACGTGTAGGTGGTCTCCCTCTACTACGTTTGTCTGCTCTTTGCTCGTCCATCGTGAGTCTTGCATTCTCGTTATATGGCCTGCCCAGTTCCATTTTAGTTCCGCTTTGCGTTTCACAATTACAGCAAAATTCGTCCTTCTCCAGAGATCTTCATTTCTTATTCGGTCCCGCAACGTCACTCCCAGCATAGATTGTTCCATTCGTCTCTGTGCCACTCTCAATTTCGAAGCCGCACTCTTGGATAGAGGCATAATTTTCGCCCCATAGGTCATAATCGGGAATATGCGTTGATCAAATACTTTCCTTTTGAGGCTAATTGGTATGTTGGCCCTAAGTGTATCTGGCAGTTATCCAAAGGCTGCCCATGCTAAAATACTTCGTCTTTGTTCCTATAATATAGTGCCTATAATATAGTCTCCATTTAATTATGTTTATACATCCGTTGTCCTTTTTGGTTGGGATATCTTCCGCAAACTCTAAACTTTGGTTTTGTGTTGGTTTGTATCTTTTTTTGCCTGTCCAGTCTTTTCTTCTCTTGTTCTCGTAAATATACCTACCCAGTATTGCTCGTTCCATTGCCATATATCTCACTTCAAATCTTGAGAGAATGCGCTGATTCATGATCCAATATCACTGATCTTCTTCTTTAAGTGCCATTTTCGTTAAAAAGATTTTTAATTATCATAGTAACATAGAATTTCGAAGAAAGCACTTTAAAAAGTTGTTTTAAACTGCAACCATACGTAGGGTTTTCAGCAAGTTCGTTTTATTCTCACATTGCTTCTGCCTTCTACTGTACCTATCTATAATTATAAGGCACAAGCTGTCTTAGTTTTCTTCAGACATTATATAGTAAATTACAATAGTAATTTTTTTCTTTCTTTATAAAAATTACAATATAGTCGTGATTTTTAATATTTTTGTATTACCACGTCTATTTTAAATTAAACTTTTCATTCGACTTGGTATTAAATTGATCAAATTCTCGATGTTACCTTGGGGAAAAGCTTTCTATTCTGCTATGAGCGCCAATCGAAGCTGCTTACGATTTATTGGAGCAGGTATTTTGTTTCTTACTCTTGGTTTGAGTTGGTCCCAAATATGCTCAATGGGGTTCAAATCTGGGCTTTGAGCCGACCAATTGATTTTTCGTGCAGCGACGGTTTCCAGGTATTGCGTTACCATCCTGGCTACGTGTGGCGGCGCGTTGTCTTGCATGAAAATAAAGTTTTCGCCCACAAATCCAGCAAAAGGCCTTGCAAACTTGTCTAGAATTTTGGTGATGTACCGGTGAACATTTAACGCTCCCCTATTAATAAACACAAAATCCCTGACAAAACATTAGAGAGCCTGCTCCGAAGAAACACGTGCTCGTCGAGCACAAGCAGCATACCGTTTCCCACGTCTTTTGTTCACTTTGATGCAACCCCCTAATCCATAAGGAACGATCCTGGACTCATTACTAAACAAAATATTTTTCTGATCTTCTGTCGTCCAATGTTCGTAGTCTCCAGCAAGCTTAAGTCGGCATTTTCAATGTGTTCAATTCCCTCAACCTTTCTCTCACTGTAGAAGTGCTTATTGTACACCCGTTAGCATTTTAAAAACGGTAAAGGACTGCTCTTGCCTTGAAAACGTATTTTGCACAGAAGTATGTTGCAAGGAACGATCTTCTCTCACTGTCGTGATTCTTCTCGCACCTGCTTCTGGTTCTCGTTCGTGAGATTTAGTGTCTACGAATAATTAGTATGTTTTTTGGACCATACGACGACTGACTGCATGCTGTCTGGCCACTTGTCGCCGAGGCTATAGCACGAGACCGGTCCAAACTAGGTCCGTGTCGATCGCTGTCTTACGAAGAAGTAAAGTGCGTTGAGATGGTTAGAGCTAAGGAACCCTCTAAGTGGTGGTCCGAGAGGGTGTACCAATAAATCATTCTATTGTCAGACGATTTTGTTAAAAAGTGTAAGGTTGTAAACAACCTTACACATGTTTCAATCTTTGTGACACAGAATACAAAGAAAAAAGCCAAATTCTGCGTACTTCAAACACGATAAATGAGATAGCAAGTTTAAGTTTTACGAAATAACAAGAAATAATAAGAGGTCCTTAGAATGCAGCATTAAATTAGATCACATTACAGTACCGTAACAGAAAAAATATTAACTGTATAAATATAAAAAGAATTCGTTCATACTTTCCCAAACATGAGAATGTTATTTAGATATTTTATTTTTATTATTCCGAATATGACCTTATTTAGTTTTAAATCTTATTCATTCATAATATTATATTAGCTAATTGTAATATCTTCGTACAAATACCTTGGAGCATGGATCACAGAAGATACTGATCAGACAAAAGAAATAAGATGCCGCATTGAAATTGCGCAGCCAACTTTTAATAGAATGAGAAAACTTTTTTGTAATCGCGATATCAATATATTGCTCCGGATATGAATGCTTCGATGTTATATTTTCTCTACCCTTTTGTATGGAGTTGAAGCTTGGACACTTAAAAAATCCAACATTAAAAACCTAGAAGTATTCGAAATGTAGTGTTACCGACGCATTTTGAAAATATCATGGATGGATCGCAAAACAAACGAACAAGTTCTCGAACAACTAGGAAAACAATGCGAAGTTTTAAATTCCATAAGGATCAGGAAATTGGAATACTTGGGTCACATCATGAGAGTTGAAAAGTACGAACTACTAAGGAATATAATGCAGGGTAAAATCAAAGGTAGAAGAAGCGTAGGAAGACGTAAAATCTCGTGGTTACGCAATCTCAGTGAGTGGTTTGGATGCAGTTCAATAGAACTATTCAGGCGAGTAACCAATACAATTATAATTGCCAGATTGATTTCCAATCTCCGATAGGAGTGGAACTTGAAGAAGAAGAATATGGCTTTAGTTTATCTTTTAAATTCTCGAACTCAAATTGGCTGATTAATTATTGTCAAGTTCTGAGAATTCACTTGTCTGAAAAACAACATGATTCTGGAAAACATTTATCAACCCAAACACTTCAGAGTCCTTAAGGAAACGTACTGGTCCTTTGTGTAGCAATTTTAAAATGTCACTCTAAGCTGAATTTACTGCTATTCACGGAGGTTCTAGAAACAGAACCACCCTAGTCGACTGGGGTACATACGTGTTTTCTTTCATATGTGTGTTCTTGTTCATTTCATACCCTGAGGCCTTAGACTCGAAGCGGGACCCAACCAAAGACAAAGGGATTCGGATTTGTCACATTTCAAAGTGAAGACGTTGTAGATAAAGTTTGTGAAATTCACTTCCACGAGATCAACAATTAAATGGTGGAATGTAAGAAAGCACAGCCGAAGGAAATGATGCTTCCCGCCAACCTGGCCAAAACCTGCGCAGCTGGCCGGGGAGTCTATGATTTGCTGTGGTCACTGGGAGCCCTTCCTGACGGTTTTCCTGCTGCGGCATATGCCGCCTATGCGGCTGGTCGAGGTTACTCGGGCTACCCTAGTTTCGGACTTCTGTACCAAGCAGTCATGAATAACTACCAAGCAGCAGCTGCAGCTCAAGCACAGGCGCAAGGTTTCGGCCCGCCAACCTATCCACACACGACCGATGCAAGAGCCGGATTTCCAGCGGCTAACTCTTCAGGACCTACCATCGATATGTACAACAGCAGCGCTGACAGCGTGGGTTATGTCCAAGCCGCCATTCCACAGCCCCGCAGCTTTCCAGCAATTGCGGTCAGCCATTGAGTCGAAGTACTGTCTAGTGTTGTGTGACCCAAAAATCGACAACTACGTGATGGCATCACAACTGCACTTGTACATTCACTTTATGAATAATAATCTAATTATGTAGCACATCCCCCGCCAGGCGAGGCCCGCTTGTTGTTGTAATGTTTGGTGTACGCGTACCGCTTTTATCTCTATCGGTAGCCGAGGAAATCATCTTGGAAAGATTTGTACATTCGTAACCAAAAATTGCGTTTTAGTCCTTTTACGTTTTTGACAGACTATCAAGGAATAGTTTTAAAAATAATAAAACTTCAAATACGTTCTCTAATAGTCTAAAATTAAAAGTGATAATAATCCCAAGAAAAAAAAAAGGAAGTTATATTTTTAATCATATTATTGCTTAAAAGATTATATAAATAATTTTAAAAAATATTAACTGTAAAAATATGAAAAGAATTCGTTCATGCTTTCCCAAAAAATTACTATAAAATTCTAGTTGGCCTCTTTTTAATGACGCGCAATATATATTTTTCTATTTTATTTATATTTTTAACTACATCAAAATACAATTGAAATTACTAAATGGCATTTTCTCAAAACAGACACTTAATGAGTATTGATTACATTTAATTTCTGCCCGTTATATCGTTGAAAATAAAGATCTATAAAGCATGTCTAAAGTCTCTGGTAGATACCATTTTATTTGTATTTACGGTAACGTCCATTCAGTGTAACAACATCCGAATACACAACTGAATTCATTCTGTATCGATCGAGCAATATTTTACTGCCCATCTGAGTTATCAAGACGACGACAACGAGCGGTTGATCATCATCAGTATGCAACTCATGGCCGCGCTTGACCACTCAACGTTATGTTGACAATCCTCTTCGGTATATCTGGTCTAGTTGCCGGTTTATAAGTACCTTCGGTTCAAGTCAAACCTGACTTGAAACAGATCAAGTAATGATAAACTGTAACTTTCACTGAATCCTAGGAAGCAGAGGCGCACAACAAGTACGCTGTTTGGATAATTCATTATCTCTTATTGTTCTTAGATTTTGTTACTCGATGTTTTAGGAAATTGTTCGCTTAGATTATGCTGCTTATTTACGGCATTTATATTGTTAAAGAAGGAACGTGGATCTTTACAGTGCGTCATTAATTCTAGAATACTAAAGTTTCTTCAACATAGCAAAACACTAATCACAAGTAAAGTTTCCTAGAGGCATGCAGGTTCACCATTTTCTTTTTATTTTAAATGTAATTAAAATAAAAAAATTAGTTATAGAAAATTTTATTCGGAACCGACACAAATAAAAAAAAATTGAAATATTATTAAAAATATAAACAGAGTAAAATAGATACTTTTGTAATAGAACACTTTTGTAACTGTACTATGTCGGCGAGTATGTAATTATCTGTGCAATAACTAAGGGGAGATATGGTTCTATTAACTGAGAACCGCGATATGCTTGTCTTAACTGAAAAAGACGAGATAATATCGATGGTATATTGCACAGAACTGGTAAGTACATTTTTGCCATTTTGGGGTTAAGTGCACAGTAATTATTAGCTTAAGGTAAAGTATGTTGTGCACAAATGTGGTAGATGTATTAATAATATTTTCAGAGATTCAAACTGTCTTTATGGGGTAAGTGCTGTAAGTCTGAATATATTGTAAATAACAATTGTGTTATGGATACTTATCCCATTTGTGCTACTAAGAAATCAATTTCTAGAGAGCACGACTGTGATATGTACACATATAGCTTTTGTTAGTATACGACTTGGCAACGCCACGCAAGTAAAAGTGACACACAGATTAATCCTTGTGTAGACGTTCTGAATCAAACATTGTATTAGGTCAATCAAATACATTTATTATGATTTTGTATAAAAAAGAACGAAAGTGATTATTTCCAAAATGGGATCACGTGGCCGAGCAATGGTTAATCTTGTTATCCAATCCAAACAAGGGAAGGCATTTAGTGAATTATGAGGTTAAGTTTGAAATTTAATAATTGTAATTATTGTAGAAAATACTGAAACACTATCAATACCTTCAACTTATGAATTGCTATGTGACGAGGAAAGTTTAGTAGACAATCCTGATATACCCGAACAAGACAGTAAGCTTTTAGTTAGAGAACCTACCACTTGCTAAAGTTGCTTTGTGATTTTATTTTTAATGCCGTGCGAGCTGTTGCCATATTGTGAAAATTATATTAAATTTCAATATTATTTGTAAGAATTGCTATTTTACACAGCATTTGGATTTTAATTTATAAATTTTAGTATACAGGTGAAAACACCGATGAAGTAGACTTTAGTGATAGCTCAGAGGAAAGCGATGAATCTGACAATGCGGCCGATGGTAAGTTCAATATGTGTAAAAGTATAATAAAGTGTTGATCTCTAAGCTTTATTATGTGGAGTGATAACTTTTCACAATTTTACCACTCATTATTTTTAATGCAATGTGTTAATCAGGCATTATTTTCAGTATTATGTTTTTTACCTCAGTGCTTTAAAAGTTAAAAGTGTCTTTTAAAATATCTGTCAATGCTACCAGAGACGGTTACTTACTTTTCCTCTTTCTTCGATGCCTGTGGAGGGCAAAACAGAAACAAACATGTCTCCGCAGCCATGTTGTATGCAGTCAATCACTTTAACCACCTAGAGACAATAGATTTCAAATTTATGAAATCAGGGCATTCCTGTTAGCAGATGCTATACACGCAACTATTGAAAGAGCGCGGAAACACAAGAAAATTTATATCACGGGTATAAACTTACGATATAATATATACGTGTAATTACGAGAACAATTTGTTTTATAATAATGTAGGTTATATTTATGATAATTTTTATAAATAGATTTGAAATAACCATGTTAAAAAGAATTAGTAAATGTTTACGTATTGTCAAGGCAAATTATTCAGAATTATTTTTCAAAAAAGATATTTTTTGTTGTATTCGATAATGAATTGTGCAATCACTTATCATGTGCCATTTAACTGTGCCGTAAAAATTATTATAGTACATTTTTTTGACTACTATACTTTAATATAACTTTATTGACGAACTAATTGACTTTTATTTTTTTGTTATGATATAATTTATAGTTTTGTGCAAGGTGTATCTCTTTTAGGCATTTTTATTGATTTATATTATTCTTTGCTTTATCATATAACTAGTGTATATGTATTGAAATATTAAGTGTGTACCGCACAATCATAACACCTTTTCTCTTACGGTTACTTAGATAACAAGAAAGGTAAGGTACAGTTAAGAACCTTACCTTTCTTGTTATCTTATTCTATATGTCTTAAGGTTTCCCTGTTCCTCTAAAATTAGGGTAGTGCCCAAATATTTCCCTTCTCTTATCTTCTAACTTCTCTTCTTCTATCTCCTAACTTCTCGTCTCTGTATCTTCAGTACTTCTCTAACTGATTCTTTATAGAGCTTTAATAAAATCTCCGACCAAGACACCTCTACCAGACTGAAGTCCGAGCCTAGTACTGTTCTTTGTGTAACCTCCAATCTGTCATTAAAGAGGGTACACATTGTGACTGTAGATAACAAAAGAGTTTACTCTTTGCAATTTGCAATAGTCATCATATTGTAAACATGCATAGTGGCCACTTCTTTGTCTCCCGATTGCAGCATGTCTAGAGCTCGTTTAGTTGAATTAAATGTATAGATTATGGCTGTATTTATTGTTTTATGAACGCATAGTTAAAAGTAGAGGAACTGTCTTGTATTGCATAGGTTAAGAAGATAAAATGTCATGTTTTTATCATACACAGACATAATATATACTTCAACTACACTTCCAAGCTTTGCTATATAGTAATTCAGAAGATATTTCTTCCGTATAATTTGTTGTGTTCCTACCATTGTCAAATTATCAGAGAAAGATAATAATTTATTTGCAAGAAGGATGCTAAAAAACCAACTGTCCATGTTCGTATTACGTCTTCTTCTTCTTAGCTCCTTATCGTTCATTTTTGGACCTCTGAGCTCCTTCCATCGATTTCTTTCCAGATCAACATACTTCCAATATGTTCCAGCTTTTTTGATGCCATCTTCTTATCTTATCTGTGATCTTGTTTGGTCCTGATTCTTGGAGGGACCTTTGTAGGGTCTCCAATGTTGTATTTTGCTTTCTAAGGTTGGTACAATACAAAAGAACGAAAGAGAAGGAAATATTAAAGGATCAAACACCAGTCAGAATATTTATAATTTAATTTAATAAAAAGATTTAAATCTAATAAATACTTCTACCCATTTATAAGTAAAATCATGTACTGCACTGTGAAACAAGTACATTCAGCACTAGTTGTGCTCATAAAACGCAGTTAGTTCCTTTTCTTTTTCTCGGCTATCTGTTCTGTTTTTTAAGACCAATGTTTTTGTAAGAAGGCATTTCTATTAGTTGATACAGTTTACTTGAATAGAATTATCGTTTGGATCGGAGATAAAGTTGTATGTGATGCGCTCTGCTATTTCCTGCTACAAATAACAGTACAATAAAAAAGTTGAAAAACCGTCTTGTTACACGTCTCTATTTTGTTTTATTGGAAGGCAAAAATGTTATTGCGCTGATGTTTTGGTTTAATAATTCTAGATTGATTTTTTAGAACGTAGGTGGCGGTGTGTGAGGCTGACTTAAAGGTAATTATTCTAAAAAAGAGGGCATGTTAAGGTAGACCCAGAAACACGTGTAAGAGAATGGTAAGAGACTTAAATTAAATCGAAACGCAACCGTCATTTATTTTGGTATTGTCCTTACTGCACGCAATGAGTAAAAAATTTATAGTAATTTATATGGGTAAATTGTTGATGCATAGTGGAATATAAATATTCTCCGCATCGCTCTAATTGGCTTGATTAAGCTTGGGTATACAGTTTACTTTAATTGCCATCGATATTCAACTTTATTTTTGTATAAAACTTATGAATATATATGTTTATAATCGAAAATAAAAATACTTTGTTTAAAAAATAATGTACTTTTTTAGCGAGAACATTTCTGACAGTAGGATTTTGATTGACAAGTGGAGCGGACGCTTTCTTTATGAGAGGTCTCTATGTGGAAGGTAACCGTATGCCGTCATCTGTTTTATTGAGAACAGTTGGCCTTTTTCAATTTCTATGACTTCTCGAATAATTCTTGGTTAATACAAGAGGATGGAGGCTATGATTCTTGAGTGTTTAAAATCAATGTGGTGACCTGTATGAAGATGGTGTTAACCTAGAGGTAAAATTAAATCGGAATTGCGAACAGAAATGGAATGTTCATAAATCCTTTTTTTGATTGAAAGTTTCATATTTCGTTTTGGGACTTATTTGAATCAACTTTATAATTATTTACGTTTTTATATTAACATAATTTTTATTGTTTTATATTATTTTTACTTCCGGTTTGTTTATATTAAACCAGACATATAAATCTTACACTTTTAAATTCAGCTCGTAAATTCAGATATCTTATTTTGTCTGTCATATTACAGGAAAATATATTTAATTCATTGTAAATTCAGGGAAATACTTTTCCCAATAGGAGGTTTGGTTCCCAAAAGAATTTCGTGTTTTTGCTGCGGACATCCAATCTCGGAAAATAAATATTAACAACGCCATAGCATGGAAAATCTTGTTTACGTATCTAAACCTGATTACAAGCTAAATTTTATGTTGGTTATTCGTATTAAACGAACAGAAAATAACAGTACAAAAAATACAAAACATTTTCGTTTAGAGTTAAAAAAAAATAAATTAATATAGACGAAAACTGGATATTTTAATTATAAATTGGAACAAATTTTAAAAGTTATCATTGTTACTATCAGGCACATACAATTGTTTTCCAATTATATGGACGTGTCATAACTTGTTATCACATAACTTAACCTTTTGACTGCCGGCAACGCGGCTCCCGCGTTGGAACAAAGTTTGGCCCTGTGCCGTGCACGCGCCTACCGCGTGCTATACCTACTTCATTTCAAAAGTCTAATTTTCGGCTGGCACATAAGTAACAGTCTTACTATAAAGCTAGGCACACAGGGAAGTGTTAGAAGAGTTAAAAAACAGCTGTGGTTTAAATATTTAACGAGGAAGTAGTGTTGAGTGTGTATGTCAAAAAAACTATAAAGGTGGTGTGAATTGTATTTCGAAGGTGTAATAAAGGTGAGTTTTAAATTATTAGCAGGTGTTTATTTAGATCTTTATAAATAATTAAGTTAATTTTGTAACAAAATACTGAAATATGTATTAAAAGAAATATTCTAATCTCCAATATATGTGTTTTTCAATTTTATTTAGAGTGCTTATAAATGGTATTCATGAGTATATTGTGTCTGTAAAAATGTACTCCCATATTGATTACTATTACATTTGAAGTTTAACCATTTATGATTGATATTTTGGTTAAAGTGGTTTAAATATTAAATAATATTAATCATATATATTAATTTTATTCAGTATTGAGTATTATTTTGGTATTAGCTACAATTAAAACAATTCTATTTCAGTGACATTGGGAGTGGAGGTTGTTAAATATGGACAACAAAGAAAATATATATGAACCATCAACTTCCAAGAAATTTCGCAAAGATAGTCGACCTCTAACTGAAGCTGAATTATTACAGTGTTTGGAAGAGTCAGATGATGAATTCGATATTTCCGAAGGGGAATTCGAAGACAATTCTGATGGAGATGAAGATGAAGAACCTGAAGAAGGAGCTGCACAATTACCAGATGAAGTTCACGGGGGTGGAACAGTATGGTTACCAGTAGCACCAGTTCGGAGACCAATACCTTTTTCTGCAAATTCTGGACTCAAAATAGTTATGGAAAGTCATAAACCAATTGACTACTTTAATTTGCTTTTTGGTGAATGTTTTTATGAATTAATTATCAACAACTCCAACCTATATGCAATCGAGATATTATCAAAAAGCACATGTGGACAAAGTCGAATTGTGGCCTGGAAGGATTTAAATAAAGAGTTTAAAATTTTTCTTGGTCTATTGTTCCATATGGGAAATATAAAACTGAACAGAATTAACGATTATTGGAAAACAAATTATTTATACAGTATTCCAGTATTTTCTACTTTTATGAGCCGAAATCGGTTTCTGTTAATATTACGAGCTCTGCATTTTTCTACCAATGAAATAGATGCACAGAACAGATTGGGAAAAATCCTTCCACTGGTAAATTATTTCAACTCAAGAATGGAAGAAATTTATTACCCAAGTCGGGAACTCGCTTTGGACGAGTCTATGGTGCTATGGAAAGGTCGACTTTCTTTCCGACAGTACAACAAACAGAAACGGCACAAATACGGGATAAAACTGTATGTGCTAGCGG